TAAAGTTTCAGCCCCTTAGCTCATGTGGTTCCCGAGATCGCTTTCCCGCCAAAAAACTTGCATATTTTCTTAAGGCGTCCGTACGCGCCCCCTAGGCGCCCGCGGAGGATGAAATTAAAACGGGAGGGTCGCACATGGTATGGGCACATATCCCCAAAGTTTCAGCTTTCTAGCATTTCTGGGTCTCGAGTTGAACGTGGGTGACAAAAAGTGCGAACACACACACGGACAGCCTCTTCCCAACGTGCGTTTTTGCAATTTACATGTATGCAAAAACGCATAAAAACTCGACTCGGCTCGGTTTGGTTCGGATCGGATCGGTTGATGATCGATGGTGTTTGGGAAACGCTGTAGCATCTCTGCCAACGGTATCCCGCGGCATCGCTGGCCGAAACAGCTTGGCGCTTTGCCAGACGCGTTGGGTAGCGCTAACCAGTGTCTGATGGCTGGATCGCTTGGCCGGGGATGGTCGGTGGGACGGTTTGACGTGGTGAGGGAGGGAGGCGGGGGAGTGGGAGGGCGCTGATTAGTAGGTGTCCAGATAAAGCTCGGATGGCGCGATTGAGGCCAGGATAGTGAGAGGGATGAAGTTGCTGATCAGGAGTTCAGGACGATAAACGGTGACAGTGGTTAGAAGTGATGGGTGTCCCGATGCGATTCTGGAGGTAGGGATTGGGGACAGGATACAGAAGCGGAACAAGAGTGCTAGCCAGGAGTTCGAGGCAAGAACTGCAGGCAGCAATAAAGAGGAAAATAAACCAATACGGCACTAGAAAGAAAAGTAAATTAAAACAAACCTGAACTTATGAATAAAGGAAAAAACAAAATCAAAGAATTGGAGCTTATAAAGAAAAACAAAAACTGAGCTTATGCGAGTAGGAATTGCTTTACAAAAATCCCTTTTCATTAAGTGGTTCTCGCATTTGTGAGGTTTATCGCATAAGTGGAGCTAAGGGCAAATGAGTTCCATTGGATTTAACAAGAATTGCAGACAATTCCATAGTGTTCCCTCCCGTAGCCTGTAACTGTACACAACAGTTTTACCTCTGTTTTTTCCCCTCCGAAATCTCATAGAAGTGAAGGCTGACTTCATCCCCGTGCATTCAGCCAACCCTGCTCTAGCTCACTCCATGGAACTTATTAGCTCTCAGCTTTACCTAAGCATCAGTTTCATAAATAGGGGAATTCCATACTGATGACGGGTTTTTATAGATCAGTTCCCACCAGCAAAACCTCAGTTTCTTTTGCTTTTATTCATAAAGTCAGACTTGCTTTAGTAAAAATATAGGTATACGTGCTGGAGAGGTCTAACTGCAAGATGCGCTCTTGCTTTGGTGATG